ACATGATATATAAATTCATGAATACAAATTTGAATATATGAAGAATATAAATTCATTTTGGAGGTGCTGGTGGTGGTGGTTTGGACTTCTAATTTAGTCTGTGCAGGAGCTTCCCTGTTCTGATGTATGTATCTGTATCTCTTTGTAATATGGCTTAGATTTGCCTAATGACACTGAAAGGGTTGACTTCTCCATGGTCACACAGCTATCTGTATAGGAGACTGGGCTTGAATCTAGAGTTTCCTGATTTCCTCAGCCTTCAATGCACTATTCCTAAGCATTTTGGGGTTTAAAAATAGATGTCTAATTATGTGATTTAACATGCTAGGTAGGATTTGAAAGCATTCATCATATTCTGTAGACATAGGTGATTGTTACCTTGAAGGAATTTAGTAAAGCCAGTTTTCCTTAGTTTTTATTTCTTTATGGTTATTTCATACTCGGAACAGCATAGATAGGAAACACTTGTAAAATCTTAAATTTCTGATTGAGATGAATCTGGAAAAGTTTTTTGTCCTTTGTGGACAGCTAGATTGCTAATTACAAGATTTTAATACTTAATGTTTTGCTGTGATTAATTTTATTTTGGCCTTGGGCTTTGGTTCTTTGCAGTCTTGGAAGATTGTCCTCTGATCAAACTAAAAAATTCTGAGAAGCTACAACTTTTAGCTTTAAATAGTATGTTGTTCTCAGATTTCAATGGAACATAAACACTGTTGTATTGAAATGTGGACTATAGCTGATCAGAAATTACTTTTATGAATCCATTTACTTTTTTTTTTTAAGGCAATTGGGGTTAAGTGTGACTTGCCCAGGGTCACACAGCTAGTAAGTGTCAAGTGTTTGGTCTGAGGTTGAATTTGAATTCAGGTCTTCCTGATTTCAGGCCAGTGCACTATCTACTGCGCCACCTAGCTGCCCCTCATTTACTTTTAATAAGAAAGATCTGATTATATGAAGATAAATGGTGCTGTTGGTGTTGTGCCAAACTTTCATCTTTATGACAGTTGGGTTTTAGCTTCAGGAAAGTAGCTTTGCATACCAGCAGTGGTATGGTAAGTGTTTAACAATCGGCTCTTTGGGGGAGAGATATACCTGTATTTAATCTGCATTGTTAACATTTTATTAATGACTCAAGTCTAGATAGTCAACAAAACAATGAATTAAGCCCTGATTTGTAGCATTTGTTCAATTCTGAGGTTTAAGTGCTCTGTATGAAAATGTAACAATAGTAGCCTCTTCTGGCAGGCTCCAGCACACTCTTAGATACTAATACTCCCCTGAAGCTCTGTGGTTATACTTAATTATTGGTGGGAGCCTATAGAATTGTCATAGATTTAGAGATTAAGAGTTACAATATGTTTATGGCATTCAACAATAGAGTAGGATTTAGCTGTTGAGGTTGATCCTTTAATCCCAGAGTTCAGTGGCTCTTTTTGAACCCTGAATTATCATCAAAACATCTGACCAAAAAAGTTTATTGAACTTGGAACTTAGAGACCAGGTTCAAATTCTGACATTTTAGGGAATGTCCTCCAAAGTCAGTTACATAACTACTCTGAGTCTTAGTTTCCTCTTCTGCAAAATGCTGGTAATAATTCTTAAACTATATATCTCACAGGGTTATTGTGAGAGAAGTTCTTGGTAAATCTTACTGTACAATATGAATGTGAGTTACTACTATTAATATTTTTCTTGTAGGTAGTTGAAATCTTGTACTAAGGAGACAGTGCATTTTAGTCCATCTAAAGTCACAAATAAGCATTACTATGCCATCTAAATGGATAGCATGAGAAAGAATATATTATTTTAAAACAGCATTAAAGTTAAGAATTTTAAAAGTTTTATTTCCCTCCTATGCATTAGACTTATTTGCTGCTTAGGGAAATGAGTGGAATTGGAGAATCTTTGAGACTAGACTGTCCTTGCACTATTGTGCATTGATTTAATGGTATACAGCTCAGTAGTTTAGTTATCCTAGAAATATAAAAGCATACACCTGAATATCTTAGACATAGCTGACTTTGTATGTTTTTGTATACTGTATTTCTGAAATTTTAATGTTCACAAAATATCGAGCCCTTTGTTTTCTAAAGTCTCTTTGCTTAGCTTCATGTTACAGGTGAGGATAGCAAGGGTTTAGAACAGATTTCTGAGCTCAAGTGACTGTCCTACATAATACGTGTTCTAGCAAGAGTTCAAAATTAATACATACCTACAACTAGTGGAACATTTTTAAAACCATGCTTTAAATCTGCAAATTGGACTATGATCTTTATTTTTTGAAAATTTTACTTTTTATGTATTACAATCAAAATAAAATTCCTTTGCCTAGAATTGGCAGTGTTATGTCTTTTTAACCACTGTCTTGGCTCTTCTCAGTTTTGGTTTACATGAAATTTTGCTTTTCTTTTTTGCTGTCTGTGTTCTGTAGGTGTATATTTTCTTGCCTGCTTCATCTCATACTTTGGACTGTCCAAGCCTGTCATATTTTTGTTCTTCATATCTTTGTTGCTAAAATTTGTGTTTCTCTGTCCTAACTTTTATTCCTGGAATGTTATAATCTGGCTAGAATCTTATCTCCATTCAGTTCCTTTTAAACTATATGCCTCCTAAACTATCTTTTGCCCTTACTCATTGAAGAATGCTTAGTGGGAGAGAGTGAAAAGTGAAGGGGGAGGGGGAGGAGAGAAAGAGTAGACTACTTTAGTTATGAACTTTGTAAGTTTTTTTTTTCAGTATAGGCTTGAGCATCTTGACTGCTCTCTGTCATTGGCTTTCCCTTTTCTCCTGTAGTATGCTAGAAACCAAACAAGAGATATGGGGTACAGTGAGGCACCTTAGGTTTGTATCATGATTTCACTTTCTTGTTTTTCATGGCTACTACCTCTTCCTCTAATCATAGGGCTGAAAGTAATTCCTTGTGTCAGCTATGGGAAAGTGTATACCTTGTGGCTTTTTTTGCTAATTGCTATAATTTAAGTCTTTTTTCTCTTATTCTTAGTGGAAGCATAATTGAGCATTATATTCATTTTATGATGTATCTTTAGTTGAAATTAACGTGTTTAAATTATTTTTTTTCTTTTTGGAAGGGGGACTTGTTTTAATGAGCTTGCAAGTGTACAGATAAAATCCTCCTTTTTAAAGTAAAATTTTGTTATGAGTTAACTCAATGAATAAAAACAAAGATTAAAATAATACAAGTGGAACTATTTACATTTGAAACTATATATACTATTTATCTCTCCTGATCTAGCTATGAACTTAGAAAATTTTTGCATGATATTCATGTTTGTTTTTCTAATTCTTTTTATGTTTTCATTACTTAGATTGATGCCCTTTGTGTTTTATATCACTTATTTCCATATACATACATATATATACATGTGTGTAAGTGTGTATATGTGAGATATATAGGCATCTCCTTTCTCTGCTCCCCCCCCAAAAAATGTGAACCCTACTTATAAAAAAAACTAACCCACATAATGACTTTGTCCTCATAGTGTATGGAGTAATTTTGCATTTTGTCCAATAAGGATCTGACATATTATAATGGGAGGAATTTTTTTATTGTTGTTATTGAGTGACATATGTCCCGGTTTCATTTTCCACATGCTGCCAAATTTCCATTTTTATTCGTTTGGGATCTGCTCTGATAATGGAATCATTTTCTACTATTTTTGAGACTACAGTTAGTCATTATCTTCTCCTTCCAAAGATATGCCTAGGTTAAAAAGACATTTGGGATTTGAAACTGTAGTGGAAGAATACGATCAATTAAGGAATTTTTTTTCTTTTTGTGAGAGAATTCTTTTCTTTACAAAAAGACCAGGAATAAGGGTTATGCTTTATTTGCAAATGATTAGAAACGTATCACCAATTTACTACTAAGACTTGGAAACAAACTACTATACCAAAGGGCTGTTAGATTAACAAGGATTATTTTGCTGAACCAGAGTAAAGTACAAAAGTGGACAACTGTGAAAAGTGAGGAGGTAGTGTGGCAAATTTTAGGACAAGGTTCTAGGTTAATGAGTCTATAAGCAGTAGAAGTGGTTTACTAGAGACTGGGCTGCTGACATAACTGCAGAGTACCTAGGATCCAAGACAGATGTAAAGTATTAGTTTCATCCTAAGTTTAATATTTTATAATCATCAAAAAAGATAATTTTTTCCTTTTTAAAAATGTACCTTAACAAGGCTTGCTGTGTTGAGTATGCTTTTTATTAGATCTGTTAAATTGCTCTATGGGAATGTCTCTCTGAAATTGCATTGTAAATTAACATGTGTTTATCAGAAGTTTTTAAAAAAAACTGAAGTGGGCACAGCTTTACTTTCTGAATCATTTCCAACAATTTCATTGGATTGGGAGGTTGGGTGGGAATTAAGTTTTTAAAACACAAGTATTATGGTTGAACCTGGTTTAAAAATTAAGAGAAAAAACTGAGATAAATTTCATAATAAGACGTTATCAGTGAAGAAACAGAACTGACTGGTTCAAGAAAAGACTTAATTTAAAATTTTTCTATAAAATTTTCTTTATATTTTATATTCTATTGCTTAAGGAGATATGATGCAGTATTTTAGTCAGTTTGGTAAAAGATAAAATGTGATCGAATTGTTTGTTAGGCAGTCTTTAAAAAAGAGGTGAGATATAAATCTAATTGCTTTTAGCATGAAACTCTAAAATTTAGAATTAGGTAAAGTGTCATCTATGATAGTTCCAAGTCAGTTTAACAATAGCTTTTTTTTTTTTGGTAAGACAATCAGAGTTCTGAGGCCAGATTTGAACTTAGGTCCTCCTGACTCCAAGGCCGGAGCTTTATCATTGCCCCACCTAGCTGCCCCTTAAAAATAACTTTTTAAAAGTTTAAATAACATTCATGCTTTATGTTGAAATCAGTCTGAGTTTCTTAGATCTGAGCCGTTTGTAAAACCTCTACTTTGGAACCTTATAAAAACATAATAACTGATAAATATATATATATTTTTTTTAACAGAAAGCGTGGATGCCCATCAACGAAGTTTTGATCTAGGAATTCAAATTGGCTACCAGCGTCGCAATAAGGATGTGTTAGCATGGGTTAAAAAACGCAGAAGAACTATTCGTAGAGAAGACTTGATCAGCTTCCTCTGTGGAAAAGTTCCTCCTCCACGAAACTCTAGAGCTCCCCCAAGACTAACTGTAGTATCCCCTAACCGAGCTACTTCAACAGAAACTAGCTCATCTGTAGAGACTGATTTGCAACCCTTCCGTGAAGCCATAGCTCTGCATGGTAAAGCTTTTTAAAAACATTTCTCTGCTAAAAATGATTATGACTTGTTTGGACTTCTTTTCATGCTCAGAGTTGAATTTTAGGCTGTTTGTCTTTTTTTTTTTAAATTACAGCTTAAGTGTATTGACATTTGTAGGTGTCATAGGAATATATAAATAGGATGTTAATCCAGAACTTAGGTAAACAGATTCTTAGATTGCCAATTAGATGTCCCAAATGCTGTTTTGTTCTAAATATTTTGTGCCAATTGTCTATTAGCCGGCAATGAAAATAGTATGCCTGAATTTGCAGTATTCTTAAAATTGATTGAATTTTCTTATCTCATGTGCTGCTTAATCTTTATTGCTAAAGATGTTTCTTAATTTTTTTTTAAGATGTAACATTTATAATTATCATGGCCTACCTAATTGCAGCTAAGTATAAGGATTCAGTGAAGCTCTAGCATGTAGATAATATTTTTCTTTTGGAAGTCCCTGTAAAAAGCATACTCATTTCTCTAATGGTTCTGTAGTGATGATGAGCTTGTGGCCAACCAGAGGTGGGAATAATGAATGAATTATTACTTTATTTACTCTGCCCTTAGTGCCTGTTAGTTGATACATCTGGAACATCTGGGGTCCTACAAGCTTACACATTTTCCTTTTCCCAGGGCTGGAATTAATATGAACCAAAGACAGTTTGGTATAACAGAATCAGGTTCAGGAATGCAGTTCGTTGAAAAGCATTTTCTTTTTTTTATAATTTATTTTAAATACTTGTAATAATATTTGTCAAGGCCTTTTGAGGTTTACATAGTACTTTCCCCACCTTAAACTCCAGTAGTGGAAGTATTATTATTCCTCATATGCAGATGAGGAAAAAGGTTCAGAAAAGTTAGGTGTCTTAGCAGTGTCACAATCCACACAAATAGTAAATAGCAGAGCTAAGATTTAAAGCTAAGTCTTCTGGTAGCACATGTTTGGTGTTCTATGTATGATCTTATAGATGGGGATAACCCTCTCTTTTAAGCTAGGTCACAGTCCATATTTAGTTGCCTGCATACTATTCTTGTCCATATCCTCCTACAAATCCTCAGTTGAGCAAAAATGTAGCTATTGTGGTGGGTCTTATTGCATGTTTTGGGTATCAGCCCAGAATTTGTGCTATTTATCTGTTGTCATTGGCACCCAGTATAAGACCAGCCCATTTCCTTTTTTTAAAAAAAGTTTTAATATTTTCTGTTTTCTTAACATCACCATGGGTCTGTCACATTTCCTTTTTCTGATCAATGTATTTTCTAGGGAATTTCACTTATGCCATCCTCACCCTATTTAAGTCTAGCCTGTTACCTCCATTGTTCTTCAAGTCATCTGTAATTTTGATTTTTTGGAGATTGTAGTCTTCCATCATTTCATAAGTATCACCAGGAGGATAATACTGTTGAAAGATGGGCTTATGCATCAGTCAGGAAGCATACTTGCTATGTGTCAGGCACTGTGCTAAAAGCAAAAACAGCCCTTGCCCTCAGTGTGAGCTAGCATTTTCCTGGAGGAAGAAAGTGTGTAAAATATATACAGAGTAGATAGAAGGTAATGAAGGTAAGGATGGGGAAGGGACTAGCAGCTGGGGAGGGAGGCACAGTGTATAGTGGAAAGGGAAAAATTTAGTCCAGATAATGGGCTTTGAACTGAATCTTGAAGGGAACCTAACAGATCGGGGTGAGGGAGCAGAGGATTGTTGACATGAGGGTGCAGCCAAGTTAAAGGCTGAGGGATAGAATGTCGTGTGAAGAACAGCATCGTAGAAGTGAGTAAAGCGAAAAGGCACCAGTCTAGATTGAAATAGTTAAACACTGCTTATTTTGCAATCCAGTCTATTTGCTTATTTTATTTAAATCTGGAACCATCTCTTTGTCCATTTAAAGTGATTAAGATTAGTCACTTTACATATACTGATGGACTAACTTAATGTACTGCTCATCCATCTGCATATTATAGTCTGGAAAAGGCATTTTTCATGCATTTTATTGCTCTTGCATGAATTGTTAGGCTGCTTTTTTAGGTGACAAGATTTCTCAGTGAGGATGCCTTTTAAGATTTGGGAGCTTTATACTTTCATCATGATGTCTTCTGAAAACAAAACCGTCCAGAGGAACTCACCTTCAAGAGGGGATTACTTTTCCATTTTCACTCTGGGCCGGTCTTTATCATTCAGAGGTGAAAACATCCTTGACAAGTGTGTTTAAACCTTGTCTTAAATACTGGCCTGATAACTGATAATCAGAACTTTATTAAGCAGAGTTGTTTCTGAGGTTGCAGAATGTATAAGTTGACTAAAAACTGGAGAGATAGGTATACTTCTCTTTCAACTTATTTCTTAAATAAGAAAAGGCAGTAATTTTGCTTGTGATACAGATGTAAGGCAGGCCTGACATTAGAAAACATCAGGACTAAAACATCAAACAAGTGACCGAGCATATAGAAAGGTGCAGTGTAGATAGGTTATCTACTCTTGTCATAGATATTATTTCTTGCACTTCAGTATTTTAAAAATGTGTCCTAACACCAAAACTTAAGTACAAAGAATTCTTACACATATTGTAGCTCAATAACTTGACAAATAGCTTGAAGTTTTAAGATAAATTGTAAAAACCCATGCCTTTTCAAGTATTATGTTCAAAATGTTATAAGAGTCTCAATTGTTCTGCAGTGTACTGGATAAGATCCTTTGCTTTGAAGACCTTTAATAAGAAGGAACTTATTCTGAGGAGTTTTTGGCATCTCCTGCCTAAGTCATGTCATTCTTCTTTATCAGAAATTGCTTAAACTAACCTAGAAACTTTAAAGTTTCAGTCATTGGCTTTTGTGGTTTATGGCATTCCTATTTCCTGGATAGTTGTAAGCATCCTGATTTTCCTTCTAGGATATTGTTAAATGTGTGATTAAAATAATAGATTTGAAACTTATTTTAGTCTAGCAGTTGAATGTCTATTTACTATGTGCAAAGCCCTCATTCCTTAGGTCTCTTAAGCTTTTTTTTTTCAGTGTAATCATAATACATTTACGTTCTCTTCAACTAGATTTCTTTCAGATCAGTGTTAAAATTATATAAACAGGTGCTGCTGTTTACTCATTATTTCAATTTCAGTGTCTGTTGTCTTAGATTGCTGTAGGATAATAGATCTATAGCTGAAAGGGACCTAAGAGGCCATCTAGTTCAACCTCTTCATTTTACAGATGAGGAAACTGATTTTGTGTCTTATTTATAAAGGTGATAGTTTTGATGAGAATTTTTAAATGTTTCTTGTCACATTTATGTTTGGGATTTGGACATTTTATTATAAGTGTCTGATTCATGCCAGTCATTGTTGTCAGTAATGGGACAAAAAAATGAAAGAATTTACCAGAGGACTTGAAATTTACCTTCCTCACCTCCTTTGAAATTGATTTGTTAAGCTCTGTAGAACAGCAGTTGACCTGAGCAATAGTCATTAAGCATTTATTAATTGCCTGCTTTGTGTCTGGAGTTTACATTCTAATGGATGGGAGGGGAGGGGTGTGTGTGTATGCATATGCACCGAATAAATATATTTTGGGAAGGAAGGGCAGTAGTAGCTGGCTGGATCAGCAAAGGCTTCTTTCAGAAGATGATATTTGGGCTAAAAAATTAAATTGGGTATTCCAAAAAGTTGAACTAAATCTCAGCATGGACTATAGCTAGTGCAAAGGAGAGCTAAATTACCTTTAATAGGATTTTACTGTTTTTTCTTCCCCTTGTTACAGGTGTAACAGTTTTGTCAGCTTCCTTATGGACAAAATGAAATCCCTTGAATAGAACCCATTTACATATTATTATGAATTTGTTAACTATAAAAGGTATTGTTGTTAGGGAAGACTTCAGGGTAATTGGGAAGTAATAATTACAGAATAACTTTTAGTGTTATTTATATATATGTTTATAGTAACTCAAACTAATAGCTGAGTGTTATCACTTGGATTTTGTTTGTTCCCCTTTAATGAGCCAGTTAATTTGTGAGTAGTGTATTGTATAAAAATGGTTTGGTTAAAATGATTTAAAATTTGTAGAGTCAATCCCATAAGTAGGCTAAACATTCTGCTTTAAATCCTGTTTGTGCTTCATTTGCCTAAGCCAAACTTTTTTCCAGTGTCTGACCTTTATTTCACTTTAGCTAATGTCTAAATTGATATGCATTCTAAAATTAGGTGGCTTGAAGGTAATGAGTTTGTAAATATTTCCAAGAGCTAAAGGATATAATGTTGATTTGTGCATTGGGATGGTTTCTGCAAACTAAAATCAGTCTGTAATCAAAATGTTTTAAGATTTATTTTGTTTTTTGGTTTTTTTTCCCTTTGTGTCTTGATAAGAATTAATCAAGCTTAATTTAAGCTCTTATGTTTTGAGGGACTGTACTGTAAAGTACTGTAAGGAACTGTCTTTACTCTCACCTTTTTCCCATTTTGAGAAGAAATAATAAAAAGTTTTCCTCTCATCTCTTTTCCCTACCCTATTGAATTAACAAGCATACTGCCAGCTGAAATTTCTTCAAGGTATAATGCTTTCAGAAGTGGGGTGGTGCTGTTATGAACCCTGAGTGGGTAATCTAGACTGAAGAGGGTAGATGGGAAGGGGGATTACCTGTCATCTGCCTCACCCAAACCAGTTATGGGTTCATCTCCAACACAACTTCAGCACTTCTTTAACAGTTATCATTCAACATTCTTACCCTCTTGTTACTGTCGTTCTCTGAAACCACCTAGGAAGGATGTGAGCGTGAGCAGGATGTCTGAGCAGTCAGGCAAAATTTTCCACTCCCCTTCAGGCCCTACAGCATATCTGGCAGATTGCCTTTTAGCTTGTCAATGAGTAAAATTCCTGCTTTTCTTTCTGCCTCCTTGCCTCTTGTTTCTTTTGGGTTTGATAGAGTAAATCATACCAGGTGAGCAAACATGGATGAGTGGTCATTTGCATTGTAGAGTTTGTTACATTTATTTCCCTGCCCA